TATATATATATATATATATATACACATGTAACACATTTTGATATAACATTTGTCAAAGGATCAGTTTTTTTTTTTGCGGGGGGGGGGGGGGGGGGATCTTTTGTAACATAAACTGTGTTCAATGTTGAAAAATGAATTTCGCTTGTCAGTTGGTGGAAACTGTTCTTTGTCTCCCTCTCGTGGTTTTAAAAAGAAATACTTGTTTGGTTGTTTTTTTGTTTTTTGATTTTTCCCACTGAGTCCTTTCTTAATTGTCTTCAGGGAGATGGGACTGGTATCTGCAGCATCTACAGAGGTCCATTTGCAGATGAAAACTTCAAAATGAAGCATTCAGCACCTGGTCTCCTGTCAATGGTATGTGTGTAGAGTCATGCTATTATTGTAACAATGAAAATAATGGAAAAACAAAAAAAGATCCAGTGTCTGAATCAAGAAGTGGTATAATAACGACCTCATCCCAACATACAGACAAGTTAATTTCTGGGTATATTTTAAGAGAGTCGACCTTTCCTTGGTGTGTCTTTCTAATCTGATCACTGTGTGTTGCAGGCAAACAGTGGACCGGGAACAAACGGTTGCCAGTTTTTTATTACCTGCACAAAATGTGATTGGTTAGACGGGAAGCACGTTGTTTTTGGTAAATACATCAACACTTTGAGCTTTGCCTCCTCTGTGTCAATTTGAGTTGAACTGTCACATTACTTTTTGTTTCAGGGAAAGTGGTTGATGGCCTGCTAATCATGAGGAAAATAGAGGTAAATTTTATTTCAGTGATTTTATTTTTTTTATTTTTTTTTGTCAGGACTAAATCGGTAGATTTGACAGATGTGTAGTTTATCCAAATATGTGGAGCGATCAAGGTGAATGTTCATATTTTTTAGGAGTTAGAAAAGATTTTAAACTTGTGATAAATATGTTTATGTTCTCCATTTATGTTCTACATCTGTCTTCAGAACTCACATACTGCACTTCCCAATAAGTTTTTTTTAAACAAGCAGGTTTTTAGCAGGTTTGTGGGGAGGGCTGTGGTAATCGGTGGTCAGTGATGCGGTCTTATAGTCCTGAGGCTGCAGGTTTGGACCCAGGTTGTGTCATAATAAACTATCACTAGCTCTTTCATGGGAAAATGCTCACAGTGGCGACTCCTGAAAGAGAGTACCACGACAAACGTTGGTTACGTGTTGTAACCCCAGATTCTATGAGTAAAGGCACAGCCCTTTGCTAACCTTTTTTTTTTTTTTGTACCACATAGAAAAACAAAAGTTCATCCCCTGAGCCAGATAACATTTGTTGTATTCGTTCATTTTTTCTTCACAATAGCATAGTGATCCCATTCCACTGTCTTTTTGATGTTTTTTTTTAATTGTTTCCCTACATTTGGCTGCTTTTCACATCATTTTCAGTCCAGTCCTTGTGCACTTCTCGTCTCTCTTGTTGGTCGAGCCACTTAACACTGAACTATGAATCATTCAGGCATTGCAAGGTGGCATAAAATAATAGTTGTTCATCAACCAGATGACTCATTTAGAGTTCTGTAGTGAAACTGGCAAACAAAAGATGGATTAACTCAAGGATGAACCTTTTTGGACCTGAAAGATGTATAACTGAGTTTTATTTTTCTTATTTATTTTCAATATTGTTTATCCTGCTGATCATTTTTAGGCTTGTCACTTTTTTTTTTTTGTCCTGTTCCTCATTTACTGGCACTGTTCCCAGAACAGAACATCGTCATATCTTGGCTTGATGTTCTGTGTGTATTAGCTAGGAAATATCTAGCCAGATGTTAGCTGAAGTTTTCAGTTTTCAGCTAATATCTCTGCTTCAAGATTTCTACACAGCATTATTTGTAAAGACCGCACTGACTGCAGAGAATACAACTGTTCACTGAGTTTGTAACATTGTTACAGTGTTAATCCCTTCTTTGTAAATTGATTGAAATTGTTCCTCTTGAATGAGTATGTGATTTTATCTCAGGTGTCAGGGTTAAAACTTCAGATGGACACAGTTCAGTAAGACATTTTAAGCATTTATTTAATAATAATTTAAAGCATTTGTTCCTCATCTCATATGTCTCTTCTGAAGCTTGGCCTGATACACTTTTGATGCACATCAGTGTGATGTATGAAGTGACCAAGACGGAACGAGGAGTTGACACCGTTTCACTGCAGAGAGACACAAATGAATGAAATCAGGGGTTATGACTTGATAAAAGATGCAGCTGATCGATGCAAACAATTTGTTCACTGATACTCTTGAAAGAACATTCTTTTTGAATGATAATGTATACATTTTCCATTTATTTTAAGTTTGTTTCTCTTTAAACAGAATGTTCCTACAGGACCCAACAACAAACCCAAACTCCCCATCCTCATCGCTCAGTGTGGAGAGATGTGATCCAGCTAACCGCGCTCTACATCGAGTCATGTCTTGAATGTTACTTGATGCCCATCAGCAAAGATCTATTATTTCCTGCCTTCGCTCTACAGCAGGTTGACAGACAGATGCACTGTTTATCAATTTTTGCTTACATCTCATGTTCAAAGAATTATTATTATAAGAATTTTCTTCTTCTTTCTGCACCCTTTTCATTCATTCATTTTTTTTTTCTTTTTGATGAATTCGTTTTGTTAGTTTCTTTTAAATGAATGAATAAATGAATAAAATTAAACAATATTACACTGAATATTTTTACCATCAGTCTATAAATAGCTGTTTACAGATCAGTTCTGACACCTACTGCTTGTTAATTTTGTTTGTTGTTTTCCTGTATTCAAACTGATAGTTTGTGTCTTTCCTATTAGGTTGAAGACAAATGCCGGTTTTCAAAAAATCAATAAAATTGTCTTTTTTTTAACCTTTCAATTGTTGTTTTTGGTCTAAGAAGGCGGTCTCAAATTGAAAATGCATCACACTTAAGTGTAAAAACTTTATAACATATTCATTATAATTCACATGTGTATGGTTTATGCATTTGATCAGATAGATTACTGTTTTTTGTCACAGTGATACAAAGCACATTTATCACACAATATTAACATTAGTAGAGCGGATTGTTTCTTTTTTTGTACTAACTTTTCCTTTGATCTTATGAAACCACTAAAACAAGTGTCTTTTTGTTTCCATCTTGAAGATAGATTTACCACCAGGAAATAATGCAGTTGTACTTTAAAGAGGTAGTGGGATTAATGTCCACCTTAGCCACGGAGCTAATTAGGCCACACACTCCAGTGCCAAGCAATCCTGTACTGAACTTATGGCGACCCCTTCTACCCCGGCCATTTTTACAAACCCATGCCTCCCACTTCCTTACCCCCATCTCCATGAACATCATTCATTTGGCATAAAAGAATCCTTTCAGATGGAAACTCTCTTCTTGTGGAAGCAGGAAGAAAGTTGCCTTTTTTTTAAAGGGCCCTTTCTTTGGGGACACTTTTTGGTTCTTGTTCTTGTGTGTGGGAGAGTGGAGCTTGGCCATTAACAGCATGCACTTCACATGTTGGTCTGTGCTTGTAAATGGTGCCAGTGGAGCATTAACATGACAATGTTTAGGGGAGGATTCTGCTGCTCTGTTTCAGTGGAGCTGCCAATGGGGTGCTTGTAAACTAGAGAATATAATATATATACAAAAAACGTTTTATTTTTCCTTCTTATAGTGAACTTTTTAAATTTCAAATATATTCCACGGCCAAAACTTGATGTACATTGGAATAGTAATGTATATGCATGGTTTATTTGTATTTAATAACTTTTATTTAAACAAAAGCAGGCTTGGGAGACGTGAAATAAATTAAAAATTTAAATTTAGCTTCATGTCTTAGTGAGCCAGTGCTGGTGTGTTTCTTGGTAGCAAAAAAAGTCAGCTGAAGAGTCTTGCATCGACATTTTAATTTTTAGTTTTTAATGTTTATGTCACATGGCAGCAATTGATGTGTTAGGTATAAGCTTGTGAAAGATTGAGTTAAAAAAAAAATCATCCTTTAGTGTTTTAACTGGTGAACACCTTTCCAGAAGTGTTTTACAGCAGATATACCAGTATGTGTCAAGCTGTCATATTACTGGTAGTAGGCGTGATAATACAGGTATAATCAGCTTGACCAATAATATTATCAAACACTTTGCTTTGACATTACTGACAGATGTATTAGCCAATCGAATGGCGCGTTCTTGAAAGTTACACGTTTCAACCAATGAGAAGACGAGCTGGGCGGAGCTGCGACCGGGCTCATTCCCCTGCTCAGTTGGTCGCTCTGCCCAGTTCGATCGGCAACGGGAGCGGAAAGAGGAAAGCTGAGAGCCCGAAGGCAGCAGCCCCCACCACCGCCGGCCCAGGTTACCATCTAGCACCGGGAAAAATATCAGAGAGCCGCCGCCGGCTGAAGCCATTACCAACGAGGAGTAACCATGAGCAGCGAGGCCGAGACGCAACAACCTCCACAGCCTGCTGCGGATGCGGAGAGCCCATCCAGCCCGGCAGCCGCAGCTTCCGCGGGGGATAAGAAGGTCATCGGTAAGACTGCTGGAGCAAGTTAAGACAACCGAATGTTAATGTGAAGGGATTTACCGTTGAAGGGAACGGTATGACATGATTGTTAAGCATCATTAAAACGGGATAATGGAATTTTAAGTAAAAAATAATAATAATCCTCCACATGTGCGCTAATCATTTCACATCCTCTCATGTTTGTGATATTTGAACAAAATGTACTGTATTTTGGATATTTTAAAAAAATCGCCGTGTCAAATTAATTTCTGTTATTAAACGTTAGTGTCCGTTGCTGGTTAGCTATTTTTACTCCTGCCTATTATAGACATTTTGTGTTCGATTGGTATTTATTTATCTTCCGTGGCCTGAGAATAATAAAACTTGTGGATTTTCGTATGATTGCGTCCTCCGCTCATCGGCCTCTTCCTGTGCCCGTTTGAGAGACGCCAGTCGGTCGTGACACGGTTGGAAGTCGTTAATAGCCGTTACCAGGATCGGCGTGTTTGCGTTCACATGTCGGAGACTTCGCGTTCTGGAAGTCCAACGATCACATATAATCATGAGGTAAATGACAACACGATGCTGCTTCGTAGGACCCAAGCTATGATTGTTAGCTGCTTAACCATCCCTTTGTTCGCACGAAAGAGTCTTGATCTCAACTTGGACCATTTAGTCCCAATTAAGTCGAAACGCGAACGTCCTTCCGGTGCGGTTGGACAAAACCGCCATAGGAAACGGTGATCGTTAACGCCTCCGAATATATCTGTTAATTTTGCTCAATTTTGGAACTACCAGCGTGGCCTACGTACTTGACATATCGACTGTAGCTAACGAAGCTACATTAGCCTAGCCACCTACGTGAGGCTATTTACACGGCAGAGGAGGCCGTCCAAAATGTCCGCCGTGGGATTCCTTTAATATATTTAGCCCAAAACCACAGCAACAACGGTTCACGTTTGCTACACTGCTTGATCAAATTCGATGTCATTAATGGTATTTAACGTTTAATGTTGGTTTCTGTTTGCTGGCTCTAGTCCAACCACATGGTACGAACCGTCTTAGCCTACATAGCCACGCTAAGAAGCCATGCGAGCTAACTTCTTGCTAACATATCCGTATGCTACTTTACCACGTGTGAACGCTCGCGTCCTAAAATGGAGCAGTAGGTCTGTGAGCGTGTGAACACAGCGTACTTTCTTACTCAATTATAAAACGCTTCATGAAACTTGCAGTGTTCGTGATGGTACTGAATCCTTGTATCATAACTTAGTGTGTGTTCCGTTGTGGCACACCAACAGCAGCTGACGCTAGGTTGTCTTAAGCATCAGGATCTATAAAAAGAATGACAGTTGGGAGTTAAATATAATTTCAGCATTTTTTTTGGGTGGGGGGGGGGGGGGGGCTTTGTTACTTTATAGGCTTCTCTGCTGCCTGGCATTAGGAAACATAGTTGAAGCATTTCAGTTAAATCCTAAGCTGATTAATAATAATTTTTAATTGATTCTCGTTGCAGCAACAAAAGTTCTGGGTACAGTGAAATGGTTCAACGTCAGGAATGGATATGGTTTTATCAACAGGTGAGTGCTGCTTCTCAAGGACTCCTGATTAAATACTCAATCCAATTACTGTTCGGCTTTGCTTACAGAGCTGACCAGATTAATTTTTCTGCTTGTCCTCATACTGTTGCTACCTGCAGTTAATTAATCCATACTGATTTAATTTAAGTCTGTTTGCAAAGACGATGCATTGTAAGTGAGGCTCAGCAGGATTCCTCTAACTGAATCTGTTTTTCTGTTTAGGAATGACACCAAGGAGGACGTTTTTGTACACCAGGTAAGTTGTTGGTTGTGATTATTTAATGTTGTAAAAGTTCTAAATTATTTTTCTCCTCCTCAAATCACATTCAAACTATTTCTAATTTCAGACGGCCATAAAAAAGAACAATCCGAGGAAATATCTTCGCAGTGTAGGAGATGGCGAAACTGTGGAGTTTGATGTAGTTGAAGGAGAGAAGGTACGCATTCCTTAGATTTCTAGTCGGTTTCTAAAAATATGTTCATTATGAATAATTTGAGCAAATGTTTTTTGTGCGCAGGGAGCAGAGGCAGCAAATGTCACTGGCCCCGGAGGCGTTGCAGTCCAGGGAAGTAAGTACGCTGCTGACAGGAATCGTTACAGGCGCTACCCACGAAGGAGGGGCCCTCCCCGTGGGGGAGACTACCAAGAGAACTACCAGAGTGACGAGGGTGAGCCTAGCAGCGGAGGACGTGACAAGAGCAGCAGAGAGGGGGGAGAGAACGCCCCTGAAGGAGACACGCAGCAACAGCAGCGCAGACCGACTTACCCTGGCAGACGGCGCTACCCGCCATACTTTGTAGGTAGACGCTTCGGCCGCCGGCCCCCGTACACCAACAACGCACCACGCGGAGAAATGACTGAGGTACGCCGTCACAGGGCTACTATCCTGAAACAGGCACCCAGTTGATCCTTATGAAAGTTGGAATGTTCCATTCTGTTATTTTCAACCCAATCATCTCTTCTTAACACTCACGTGGTTGTGATCAACTAATCTTGGTGTATCGGGGGTCTTACAAACATTTCTAAATAGATCCCTCATGTCAACTGACATGCTCATAAAATCTACCAGGCAAAAAAAAAAAAAAAAATATATATATATATATATATATATATATACGTTTTGGCTTAGACGTGTTGTTGACTGAATATTTTCAAGTTGGTTTGTGTCTGGAACAACAGTCAGTTCTTGTTTAATCTGTTTTACAGGGAGGTGAAGGTGACGAGAGCCAAGGTGGGCCAGACCAGGGTAACAAACCAGTGAGGCAGAACTACTACAGAGGCTTCCGACCAAGGTTCAGACCAAGGTTTGCATGTTGGCTTCATTGATGAAGTGCTGTCATAATGATGAACATTAAATCTTTGGGCTGTCTAAATTCCAAGTCCATCATAAAAAATTGTCCTTTTGCTAACGTCATCCTGCTTTTTTCTTTTAAACGCATCAAACTGCATGGCTTCAAAACTACATCCAGCCTGTGCAATTTGTATTTTGTGCAAGTTCTGTACTTCATTATTGTCATTAATATTAATATATATATATTTTATATATATATATATATATTTATGGGGGGGCTGAGATGGGGCAGAGGCAGGGCAGCCAACTCGGGACCTGAAAGTCCCAGGTTCGATCCCCAGTCATTGCACATCTCGTGATGTCTCTAAGCAGCACACCCTAATCCCCAATTGCTCCCACGGCGCCCTCAATAGCTGCCCACTGCTCCACCTGAGTGTATCCCAGGCATGATGCGTTAAATGCAGAGAACGTTTCACCATTGTATGGGAACATACAATGATACATTTATTTTATTTGTCTACTCATGGCCTTTTCTTTTTGTCTTTTCATCCTAAGGGGTCCACCCCGTCCCAGACCAGTGCAAGATGGCGAGGAGGACAAAGAGAATCAGGGTGGTGACGGTGGTCAAAACCAACAGCCCCGCCAGCGGCGTTACCGCCGCAACTACAACTACCGCCGCAGACGCACACAGTCCGATAGCAAAACAGGCCAGGAGAACAAAGAGGCCAAGACAGGAGGTGACCCATCTGCAGAGAAAACGTCCGCTCCCGAGGCCCAGCAGGGTGGGGCTGAGTAGGAAACAACCTGCCCACCGGCACCTACCATCTTTTACCATCGTCCGGGTGAGTGACTCCTCAGGCCTTCAAGTGTCTGGGTTCACCTGGTTCACCATTAGACTGTACTGGTTACACCCTAAAAGGCTTAACACTCAGATCAGGATAATTTTTCAGCTGTTCTTTACATTTGAATACATTTTAATTACTCAATGCTTGAGTAAGATGAATATGCAGCTTTCAGTACACTCATGTGTCCTTTATTCTCTTTACAGTTTTTGTTTTGTCAACAAGAAGAAACATCAAACAAGATCTGAGCAATAAAGATTTGACTTTAAGATCGTCACAAGCTTGCACCACGCATTCGACCAGATTACCACCGATTGCCTGCAGAATCTATGCAGACTTGTGTTTCTGTTCCCATTATTTTTATGTGACAGCTACAAAACATTTTGGGGAAACAACAAATGTTTTTCTAAATCTGTCCTAAGTTTTTACACCAAATGATTTTTAAAGATAAAAATTTGATATCTGGTCAGTTTGACATTTTTAAATAACTTTTTATGTATTCAAACATTTTAACAAAATGCAAGCTCAAATAAAACTCCAGAAACCAGAAGATGTGTCTAGTGTTTTATTATCGTCACATATACAGGCTGTCGACAACGACAGAATCTGGAGTTAGTTTAAAGTTTATTTTGTATCTTGGAACAAGCAAATATAACATTTTTAAACTACATTTAACATGAATAATTTTTCTGTATTTTGGTTTTAAAAAAAAAAAAAAATCACACACGCCTACTCTTTAAAACTATGAGAAATGTAACTAAGATTTAGATTCAGGCCCTCCGTTTGGCTGAAGGCTTCTTATGTTCCAGTGTTATCAGTCAGGGCTCAGCAGAACTCAGCAGTGCACTTAAAAAAACCCTGAAGAATGTGTTTCAACAGTCGACAAGGAAATATCTTTTTGTCCATCATATCCTGATAGCTTCTAGTCATTTAAACATTTGTCTCTTTGCGCAAGCGCTTCATTCTCTGTACGTTGTTCTCCATGGCGGTGGGATCAGTGATCTCTGTGGCACAGCAAGCAGGAAACCAGCCTCTCTCTCCATCCCTCATTCTCTCTCCGTAGCACCAATCTACCCAGAGCAAATTGTTAGTTTATAAAACATGCTATAATACAGAGAATGGACTCAGTGTCATAAATCTACAAATCTTCACCTTCCTCTTTCTGCAGGACGATGACCAGCTCAGCCTGTCGCAGACCGAGCTCATCGGGCTCTTTCGGCATGTAAGATTTAGTGGCCTCGTACTGTGGCAGACCTGAAACGTTCCCAAAAATGAAACCGTTTTTCTGGGCTAGTACGAAGAATGTGGACAGACTGCAAAAGTCAGTCCTGTGACACTGCTGAATAACTCCATCATTAATCGTGGCAGGCGTGCTTTAATTAAACTACAATCCACACATGTAAGGACAATCTGTTATAATAGTTACTTTTTTTTTTTTTTAAGCTAAATGCTTTTAACTTGGCCTTTACAGAAGCAAAAGGCATTACACATGATGGTTGTAGTGAGACCAGTATTTACACAAGGAGCCTGGTAACATTGTTGAAGGCTCATTTAATCCCAAGTCTCCACAAGAAAGAAAACTGACATTAGTTCTCATTTAAACTTTACATAAACTCATTAGGAAACATTTTCCCCACTTAAATTTGGAAAAAGTAATGTTCTGTATGCCAAGTGTTTATCTTACCGTCTGTGCAGTTGAAGCCACCAGACAGTTTGTGCCGTGTAAGGGCAATTATCCAACGAGCCCGGTCCACTCTGGGTAAAAGAAGTGAAAAACAATGTTTCTTCTGAAAGTTCTGGTAACATTGTGTAGTTGGAACCATGCATTTGACGACAGAGGGAGCCAAAGACAATACTTGTTCCAGGATGTGCTGGTACAAACCAGTACCTGGAATCTGCCACCAGGGAGATTTGCTCCAGTTTGCTCTCACTGTTCTTGTTCATCCGCAGTTTAAAGGAAAGGGGACTGGAGTTTTTTGTAGGTGAAGAGATCTTTCCCTCTGCCTCTTCCATTAACTCAACCTGGACGTTCTCTGTAGTGGCGTAGTCCAACACCACAAAGCTCTCCTCACTGAACAAACGAGACAGAGTTCATTAGGTGCAGAACGAAGGGACAACCAGATCATGTGGTTTGACAAGACTTTAAAAGACTTCTTGTCAGGTCACAACGATAACCTTGCGATCATTAAAATGACTTCAGTGTTGTGGGTAATTCCGTCCTCTGAGCTGACATTGTTTGGCTTCTCCCTAATTCAAAACAGACGGCCACAGTGAGTCGAGCTGACAGGCTGAACGCTACATTGAAGAATCCCAAGTATGCACGCAGCACATCCATTCTCTCCTTCCTCTGTCCCTTTTCCCTCTGCTCACATTCCCAGTGAGCAGCTGGATCTATTCAGTGTCCACAGGTCAAGAAGCAACCACAGCATTAATGCAGACATCAACCCTGCAGTTCGTAACCTTTAAAAAGCCCCCCACCTTCAGCAGATGTTTAACACTGTGAACATTTTTAATCTGCAGTAATCTGAACATTTTATTTTATTAGTTGGGTAACTTTTATACTAAAAAAATTCTGTATGGTTTTTGCAATTATGGTAAAAGTATTTCTGCATACCGTGTGCTACTTTAACAATCTAAACATTTCAAAATGTTTTACTTGATTGGGGAAAATGTGCTTTCACTCAGTAGTTTGATCTTTTTTGCATTTTTAACACATTCACAAAAAAATACACAGAAATCTCTTAAATTCCTTCAAAACATTGTTCCCTGAAATTTACTTACTTGCTCTATTTTTATATTTGTTGCTTTTAAGTTTTAGCCACCTTTTTGCTAATTGTAGTTTTTATTAGCTTTTCCCTATGCTTCTGCTACTTTTAGCATTTAGCAATAGTTTTGTGAAATTTAGCTATTAGTTGCTATTTTGCTATGATTCTGTTTTAAAATGTAATTTTTCCAATAATAAACTACGTTTCGTTCAGGGTGATTATTTAAAAACACAAAGAAGACGAGTCACAAATTACAGTAAAAGTCATTAGAGAGAACTAATATAGCACCACATTTTAAATAATCACATTTGTCTAGAAGTTATAGTTTGATATATTTTTAGGGGTGTAAATCACAAGCTTTACCACGATATGATATTATATTGATTTGTTTGTATGACGATACGATTATTCTTGATATCACAAAGTCAGTCACAATAAGATTTTGATTCTATTCAATTCACTAGTCTGCAATCGATATATTGCGATATCAAATGGCAATCTCATTTACATATAAACAAATTTACAAAAACAATTTTATTTCTGTTATTACAGGCACCAGGAATTTAAATATATATTTTTTCTTAATTAATGAAAAAAAAAAAAAAGACCTGTTCAGTATAGTCTCACATTTCTCATGTTTAAGTGGATTTTTATGACATGCCTTGGGAATTTCAAAATAAAAGTGTATTTTAAAGATGACAATATGAATCGATGTTTTAGTTTTGCCACAATATAATTGAATCATTAATCATTTAATCAATATATCGGTTTAAATCGATGCATTGTTACACCCCTAATAGATTTGGTGATTAGTTTGTGGAGCGTGAATTGACACTCACGTCTTCTTCTTGGTGACGATGAGAACGTCATTAAACAGAAACAGGTAGTAGCTTCTGTTGCTGAACGCTCTCCATATGCTGAGCTCTTCGGAGGAGATGGCGAGCTCACCACGCTTCTCCAGCCATCGTGATGATGAAATCAACGGAAAAGGCTGCGATGAAACAAAGTTGGCAAACAACTAAGACACCGTCTTCTGCATTGGATCAGGTTTTTAACTAAATGTGGGAAAATGAGCGCATATCTCTGCAGTAATTTCCAGTTTTACCTTAATTTTTCCAAAATCCATTTGTTTCTGGATCGTGTACATCTGCTCTGTCCTCTCCATCCGCCTGGCTCCATCGTTGCAGCTTGTGACCAACTGTTGAGACGATAATAACAGCGACAATAAGACTTTGGGAAAACAAATGTGGCACTAAAGAGGGTTTTGTGTGTGTCCGAGTTGCCCTCAGGATTTATACCTTGCTCATGGCATTCAGCGCCCAAACTGCAGAAAAGTACTCTGCTGTCTGTGCTTGGGTTTTCTGGCAGATTGTCTGCAAATAAATGGGTTAAAACTAATAAATAAATACTTGAAGGCAACTATAGATAATCAAACAATGATATGAACTAGACGTGCAAAATTTGGACGTCCTTTTAAAAAAAAAAACCCACTTGCATTATTGAGTGAACAGAACAGTGGCTGCTCACTTGAGTTGGGAAAATATCAAAAAACACATTCATTTATTTGGGCACACCAGATTTAACCTCTTAGGTAAATTAAGCTTTTAAGGTTTATGGCCTAAAAGCTAAATGGACGGTGATCTGCAAATTTCAAAGCTTGATAAATATTTAATGACTTGCTAATGATTCGTCCAACCACAATGCAACAAGCAGCAGTGGGTGGCTCCTGCAAGTCGTTACCTAGCGTTCATACAATTAAAGCACAAAAGAAACTGCAAGAGGACTATGAAAAAAGAACACGTGCCAGTTCATATTATGAATATCAAAACACGGTTGAGGTCAAGCTGAGATCTAAAGGGCCAAAATTATATTTTTCAAGAGCTTTGTCAGTGGGTAAAGTGTTACAACAAAGTGTCTTAATTAAAGAATGTTCAAATGAAAGCTTTGTTGTGTCTTCACATAATTATTTCCAGACATTTGCAAATGGACATCTAGGAAAGCATTTTGGGAACAGCTCTTGTGGATTAAAGTGTTGGTTTGTTTTTTCGGACAGTCCCTCTCTCGGTGGTCTTCACAGCAAGCGAACTCGCATGCAGACTTGGCAATCGTTTTTTTGTGCCAGATGCCTGTCCTGACGCAACCCACGTGTGGAGCAGAGGGTGCCTAGAGGAGCAGATTATTATTTTTAATTATTATTTTTTTATTGTACTCTATTAATTCCTAATTGGGCAATTAATTATCTGCATTTTTCCCATTGCATGTGTGAGCACACACGTGAAGCAGTGGGCTGCCATCTAAGGTGCTCGGAGAGCAGCTGGAGGGGTTAAGAGGCTTGCTCAAGGGCCCAGAGTGGGGCAAATGAGGGTGGAGGCAGGTGTGGGCGTTTCCCCTTTTCCACCCACATTTTGTTGTCAGTCCAGGAGTTGAACCGGGGTTGACGGGCGACCCTCCAATCACAGGCCCACCCTCTCTAGCGTCTGCACCACCACTCCCCAATTATAGCTATTAAATTTATAGCTTATAGATTATAGCTACAATATAATACAATTATAATATAATAATAATACATTGTAGCTACAATGTAATATTTTAGCATTAGTGATCACAGCTTTCACTAAATAAAGAGAGAAAGTTGACATTTCTCAAAGTATAGGGAACTTGTAGATTGGTTATTGATGCTGTATTAAAGGCAGGGAGCTACTTCACAGAACAGAATGGGTTCAACAGCATGAGACAATTTTTGAAGTACAGTAAACAGCAATTATTAAAAAGTACAAAATAAACAAACAAACAAAAGGGCTCTACAGCTGGATAACGAGCCTAAATACAGCCAAAAATCAAGAAGAATTGTGACGTTTAGATCTTTGGAACAAGTCTGGAAACAAAAAAAGGGTCTAAAATAAAAAATTAAAATAAAAAAAACTAGCTTCTTTAAAGTAATGCATACTTCAATCTCTCTTGTGTAAATGTTCTTTTAGGGACTTTTCTTTTTGGTACTTTAAAATTGAAAAAGATGGAAACTAAATGTTTGCATAACTGAATAGTTTATAAAAAAAAGCTGCAAAAATGATGACTAGGGGAGCCAAACCTTTTGAATAGCGCTGGTTATGACCGTACAACACCATCAGGTGCTTTTAAATGTTCATCAATAAACAATTGTTACTATATGCACACTTTGTTGTTAAATAAATGTTTTGTTTAGCTGCAATAAAGAAAGGATTTAAAACTGACATCCAGCAGCAGTGGTAGTCTGGTCACCCTCTGCATGGGCAGGATAAGGAACGAGATCATGGGGAGGCCTCCGCATTCGCCGGTCGACTCAATTTGCTTCAGAGTCTCTTTGAATGAAACGTTACTGTTCCTAGGAGACAGAGAAGGAGAGAAGCTCAGCTCATCCCATCGTGCTGCTGCAGAAACGTGTCAGCTCGATGGAGTATATTCTGCCTCTCACAACAGCTTCTGGAGCGTCCTCTGCTGAAAGGTCTCATTGGAGCAGTAGACGATGTAGGGCTCAAAATTGTGCGCAGCATAGTTCTGGACGATGTCGCTGATGTCTCGGATCAGCAGCTGCTCATTGTGACGTTGTTCCAGGTCCTGAAAAAAACTGCAAATCCAGCAAGAGTGGGAGGTTAATAATGAGGTGAAACAACTGTTTCTTCTCCTCCCACGGCCTGAACACATCTGTGTATAAGTATGCACAAATCATTGTATGCATATTTTGATTTTTATATTCAGAGAGAGATGCAGTTATCTAATTTCATCCGGGAACTTTCCAACAAACACTCGTGTGAATGTTAGATTTCTGTTTGAGTGCATTAACATAAAACATGAGTCATGTTTCTCATAGAATATTTTCACAGCTGTTGTGTCACTGGAATTAATCATTTCTGAGTCTTTATAACTGCTGCAACTAAAGAAAAACAAATATTATAAACAAATCCAGAGCTATTTTACTTTAGTAACAGATATACAGGGTGGCACTGTGGTGCAGTGGTTAGAACTGTCGCCTCTTAGCCGTGGGCCTTTCTGGGTGCAGTCGTTTGTCCAGTTTGTCTCTATGTGTCCCTGTGATGGACGGTGACCTGTCCAGGATGTCCCCCGCCTCTTGCACAGTGACTGCTGGGGATAGGCACCAACTCCCCACAACCCGTAGAGAAGTGGAAGAAAATATATTCACAATTCTCTCTGCAAAAAAAAACTTACCTTTAAAAAACCCCCCCAAAAAAAACAGATTCAACTACGGTAAATAAATGACTCAATCTTGACCTTTTAAACAAAAATGTGTAAAATGACACCTAAAATCACAGCCCCACCCAGGACCCAGGCGATTTGACACACAGAAACTGAAAACCAGACAGGTTTGTCACTAAAAACTTAATATATTGTGTCCTCTCGTTTCACAAATCCTGTTTTCCATTCTCAAGCTTGAAAGAGAGAAAGGGAACTACTTCGCTCTCTGCGTTTTGTATTTGTGTTCAAAAAGAAGCCTAAAGCAACGAACAAAGGGCACTTTTGAAAACATTATTGTCATAAAGCCCAGGAATACCAAGAAGTGCAGCAAGGCAGCAGAACCAGTTTGGCGTACTTGTTTTAACATGTAATGAAGCTTACTGAAGAATTGCTAGGGGCAAATATTTTGCCTGACACTTTAAATCAACTTTTTTCTCACCTGAGACCACATATCAGACAGGAAACATAAAATAGAAAGCACACAGCTCTATTTTGAGCAGGCAAAGTAGGTTTTAGTCTTCTTTACTCTCTGATTGCAACATAAATCTCTGCTCAACATCTCAGACCAACTGGTATTTCAACTGATTCTTCCATCAGTCAACAAGAGTAAACACACGAGTAAGAACAACGACAAAAAGGTGTACATTTTGTACAAAACTGAGGAAAAAATGCCAATCGCACTTGTATTTTATCACAACCCAATTCTGAAAAAGTTAGGATGATGTGTAAAATATAAATAAAAACAGAAAGCAATCATTTGCGAATGTCATAAACCCATATTTATCCACAATGAAGGGCTACATTTCCCACAGTGAAGCACCCCTTTTCTTTTAAAAACAGCATTTAGGAACGGAGGAGACCAGTTTAGCATTGTCTTGATGAAATATGCCAGTTATTTACTGAAAAATGGCTGTCTGGGAGCAAATATTCTAAAATCCGTTTATATTTTTCTGCATTAATGTGCCTTTCCAGATGTGTAAGCTGCCCCATGATATAGGCACTAATGCACCCCCATACCACCAGCGAGGCAGGGTGTTAAACTGCACTGGCTGGATGATAAGAATTTCAAATTTTGATTTGTCTGACCACAAAAAATTTTACTTTGCCTTTGTTCATTTTGAATTTAGCTTTGACCGAGAGAAGACGACAGTGTTTCTGGATAGTGTTCAAATTAGGGATGCACAATATTGGATTTTTGGCCGATGCCCGATACCAATACCGATATTTTTTCCCTTTACAGTGACTACATAGCTTTCTCTGCTGTGGAATTAAAATACTACATTATTCTGTATGGTCTTTGCCAATTTGGCCTGCTACCAATGCAGATACCAAAAAAGGGGGCTGAAAATGATGCAACACTTCAACTTGAATTATGTTTAATGTCACATTTATTTATCACATTTATTTATGATATTTACTCTCTCTAACACAATGACAACACTCCAACAGTGCAAATTTGTAAATGTTCACATATCTAAACTCAAAGGCACGCGTGACGTCATAATGTTGTGCTGGCGCTGCAGGCATCCTTGTCACTGGGTTATCATACAAAAACAGCACCTTTTATACTGGGGAGTTATTTTAATGTAATGGTTGATGTCTGATATTTAACTTTAACACTAATATCAGCCATGCCGATAATACCGTGCATCCCTAGTTTCGTTGGATCATCCTGATTGTGCAAATGGCTTTACAGACGTTTCTTTCTGCGTTTACTTTCATTTTGTAGGATTTTTAATCTCCCATTTCAAATATTGCATTTGTTTGCTTAAATTTATAATGGAAGAAAAATAAGTTCGACTTTATCACCCCGTTTTTCTATAAACGTCCTTCAGAGAAGTTGTCTCTTTCTCTCCTTTCATTTCTTTCTGCCACACTCTCTTTCATCATTTCTCTTGTGAGATAAAGAAAAGTACTTCCTTATACACAACACATACTCCAAGTGCTATACATTGCTTGAGATCTTGGCTCAAAACGTCAGCATTACCTGTTGCAATCAACCCTGTTTCTGTTAGCAAAATATCTGAGCATGAGATTGCGTATAATGTCATTTTCAAGGTTTGAACAACATGGCTACAACAGTCGTTTAACAATAAAAGATCTTAGTCTGTTATAAGGAGAACTAATTGCGGGCCCCAAGCTACTGCAGCTAGCTGTGGGCCTCAGGCCTCATCTCGGACCCCAGGTCCACCACCAGCCTATGCTGCCCCCTGGCTCGGACCTCCCTCAAAAGCGGCAACTCACATTATCAATAAATCAAGGAAATGTGAATTAAGTTTT